CACACACACACACACACACACACACACACACACACACACACACACACACACACACACACATTCAAGAGCTTTTGTTGTGGGTTCAGTTTTGTTTTAGTCGAACTGCTTAAACACAAGCCTCAAACAAAATAAAAAAAATTGTTCCCACCTTTTGTTTTGTATTGAATCTTAAATACATTTTTACCAGCAAGTGCCTTTAAGGTATATTACTGTATTCTGTATCATATTAAATTGTATTGTGTTTACTCCCTGCCCATGTTTACACTTGCACCTACATTTTCGCTGCAGCTGAGCTACTTGGCAGGAGATAAACAATGTTAGTCATATCGTTCTAAGTTACTATATGTAAGGTTTGAGAATGAATGAATGCAACAGTAAGACAGCACCAGTCTCACATGGAGTTTTTAATCTATGCAGACATTACTGTTTACTTATTAGTGATTAAACTGATGATAAATGAAATCATTTGGCCTATTGAATTTATAAAATGTTGCTTATTTTTGTTATTTGTGCATGAAAATGGTGACTTTATCAATTAGGCAGCCTTTAAAGTAGTTGCTAGACATGGAGACTTTTAATTGGCAAATCATTTTAACCAATATTGTGATCTTTAGCACAGATGGGGCCAGTTTGTTCAGCTGCATTTGTTGAGGTTTTTAGAAAACATTCTCTCCAAATGTAGTGATTCTTTCAACTTAAGCAAACAGTTCATAGCTGATAGTTTTAGGACTACTTTCATTGTCAGACAGATATGACTTTACTGTATTGTGAGATTCATTTTCCACCTTTTTTGCTTTTTACCTCACACCAGGGTCCAGTCACCTGTGTGGCCTTCTCTAGAACAGGGGAGTACTTTTCCTCTGGAGGCTCTGATGAACAGGTGATGGCAGAGTATTCTAACATTCTTCATTACTAACTTTAATGGAGTGTTGTTATTTAATACATTTATATCTGGTTCACAGGTAATGGTGTGGAAGAGCAACTTTGACTGTGTTGAGTTCAGTGATGGCGTCAGACTGCAACATAAAACTGCTTCCAGTTCACAGACACCAACGGCTACTTCCACAACTCACTTCCCCCTTAATTCGCATACATCTGTGTTACGTAGCAAGGTAAGTCCAAACAGAAAGGAACATGGAACCCAACAAGATGGCTGTTTTGGCTTTTACCTTTATTCAGAAGCTGAACAAATATAGCCAGAAACTGTCAAATGATAGGCAACAGAGGTCGAGGTCCAGTCAGTGGGGTCAAACCCAGGATTCAACTACTAAGGGCATTTTAAACCCTATGTGGTGTCTCCCCTTAGCACTTGCCCATCGGGTTGCACTTTGTGACTGTGTGACTGTGCAGTGATTAGTGTTGTGTTTAGCAATGAGAATAAAGAACTAAGTCAGAAACATATGCTTCCAAGCACATCGTTTCCTTTATTCATTACTGGCACGTTTCCCAGTTGTTTGGTTACGGTGTTTTCACACCTAATTGATAACATGTCATTATGTTCCATATAAACTACAGGTGATCGCTTTAATCTGGTAGTGATCACCAGTATGTAGGCCTGCATGACCCTACTAGTGACTGGTGTTTGCCAGACAGTTGCTAACCAGCCTCTAGCAACCGCTCTAGCCAGCAAGGTTTTATGTTGTTAAAGGGTAGTTTTATAATTTGGTTGTTAGGATATGCCAATACAAATGTATATAACTAAATATGTCTACCACAAATCCTATACAAAATGCACTAATTGAAATGTATGTGTGCACATGTATTTCATGCATGTGTGCTGGCTGGCTGAAAAATAAATATGAAAAGACACAAACATGTGCACAGATGCCTCTCAGCTTATTTCCTCCCTTCCTTTGAAGTTCTTAGATTTGGCCCAAAGCCACATTCATATCCCACATGCAGGGCAGGAAATGCCTGCTTATTCACCATCTACACTTTGGTATGGAGGATATTCTTTTTCCTATTGAAATGGAGGAAAAAATAAAATAAAATAAACTGCATGATACCGCAGGTGAGTTTTAAAAATGTAGTCGATCACAACAAATTCTTGAAACTGAAAAGAGTCCGTCGGTGATAATATTGTGTTGTGCGTAGTGATCTTTGAAGAGATTTTAAGTGTGTTTGTGGTTATGTTTCTGTTCTCACGACCTATAGTGTAACTTTATTTTTTATAACTCTTTTTTTTTTTTTTTTT